AAGGAAAAAAAACCCCCACTAATAACCATACTGTGAAACAAAAATACTATTTAAAAAACACATGGATGACAGTCCAACAGTTTGCAGGATTCAAAACTGACTCTACAAAGTAGTTGTCTACATTGTAGAAGGGATTTCCTTTTATTTGGAAAATGAGCAAATCAGGTATTGGAGAGAAGAGATAAAAACCAATCTTTAGATGGTCTGAAGTTTTGCCTACTGTTGAAGGATTAAAACCGTAAATAAAAAGGTACCAAGCCCTCAGAGTTCACTGTTCATGTGAAGCTTCTTCCATCTCTTTCTTGACCTTTTTAAAAACCAGATTAATTTCTGGGAAAGAAAAAAAAAAGAATTATTTAGGAAAAACCCAGCAGTTATTTCTTATTCTGACATTATACAGAAATGCTCAATTTTGACTTGAAAAAGGCTTAAACTAAACCCAAAGTTTCAAACCTGGCTTAGAAACTGTGTGAGGTCTTGGCAGTAGAAGGTGAGATTATTAAAATTAAATTGAAATTAGCTTCTGGAATTTAGGCAGGGATAAATTAGAAGCATTTTGGGCATTATTGTGTGTATTTTCCCCAAAGTCCAGGCTGGACACCCCCCATCCCTGACCATACACACCTGCCTTGGCATGGGAGGCTCTGAACATCTTCTCATCTGAAACTCTTCTGCTGTTGCATCAGCCCCACATTTTCATATACTCTAGCACTATCTTCTCTCATTCTGAAATGAAACAAAGATTTAGAGTCCCAAGAATCCAGTTTGAGGAAAAAAATGTATTGCTCACACAATGTTATTCAGTGACAATTATTTTGCTCGATTTGTTTTCAGAGCAAAGCCCAAGGCAACAGTCCAGGGCAGGTTCTGGGAGAGCTCAGCCTCATTTGAGGTTCCTGATGAGTCAGTAGAGCTCAAAACTTCCACATGAGAGCAGAGATGAACTTACTCTGGACAGGTTGGGGTCGGGGTGCAGGGTGGGAGAGGGCTCTGATCCCCACTCGTCTGGTCCGATAAAGAATATTTAATGTTTGTGTACTCGTGACCTTTCCTCTTGCTCTTCTGTGAAGCAAAACACACCAAAAAGCCAGGTTTGGAATTAATCATGGAAAACAGTCATTGAAGCAGTGAAGCAATTACATGAGTAACTAAGCAAGGATGGTTTTAGAGGGAAGGTTTGTGAGGAGACAGCTCAGTTTGCAGATACGCAAACATGGAGAAAACCTAAAGGTTGGCTTGAGCTATGGATTACAAGACCTGAAAATCCTCATTTTTCCACATTCCCCTTTCCACCACAACATCCCAACCCTATGAACCAGCACTTGTACTCAACCTTCATCTTCCTTGGCAGAAGAAACCCCACTTTCATTCTTTAGCAGCCAGTGGGCTCCCCACTGACCTCATTTCCAGCTTGGAGATGTGGCCAACGGAGTAACAACGCTGTTTGCAGGATCTCTAATAAAATAATACCTGAGCCCATTAGGTTTGATATAAAAAGCAGCCAAGCTGTTATTTGGATGGTGCAGCATATGCTCCAGGCTGCAGCCAATTGTGCTGGCACTGAGCTCCAGATCCCGATGCTCCACACGGGAACTACACTGGGAAAGGGAGGGGATGTGGAGCTTTCATTTTCCACACAAATATTCACAAGATTAATATATTACAGCATGGGAATTAAAGCTTTACAGGGTACTAGGTTTGATTTTTTGTGTGGATTTGAGTTCCTTTACTGCTCCACCAAGTCCTGAGTAACTGGCCTGGCCCAATCTCACGACAGCAGAGGCTGTCGGAGCCTCCTGGGAGTTCTGGCTCCTGAATTCCCATTAAGAACATTCCTATGGCAATGCAGGTTGAAGCTTTTCCAAGATGCTCTTCTGAAACATGCTCAGAACTTGATAAATTTGTTCTAGTGTTTCACTGAACTTCTCCCCTCTCTGCTTTTCCTTGCTTTCAAACAGACCCCCAACTCCCAATTGATTGCCTGCTAAAAAATAACATTTAAGGAAACACCAAAGGTTCAAACTCTCTGTATTTTACAGTGTTATGGCTACAAACCATAAATAATGCCAAAAATACTCTGGAGCCCCAAAGTAGGGCTGGATTTCTACCCAAACTGCACAATAAAGGGCAGTTTAACTACAGGTGTGCTGGTCAGTAAAAGCAATCTAAAAAAACCCTGTCAGATCTATTCCTTAAACTGACTGAAACAGATAAAAAAAGCCAAGAAAAAGTAAATATCTGGCTTCTCTTCCTTCCACTTAATTCACTGTAATCATCCTTCCTAATTCAGAGTAACAGAAATGTGGTGAGAACTTGTTTCCTGGATGCAAGAGAATATACATTTTCACAGGGAAAAACTCCCAACCTAAACCAAATTCCTTCTGTTTTTCTACTATGCCTGTGGGAAGACAAGCAATATTTAACACAGCACTTAACTCCAGGAAAACTGAAGGCTCTCAGCATTGCAACGTTGGCAGAGCAGGGAAAGTCTGTCCTGAACACTAAGGAAAAGCAGGAATATCTCTGGGGAGGGATGCAGCTCCTCACAGATCCAGCTGGTTGTAAATCCTCCAGGACACGACACATAATGTGACTTCCCAATTCCTTTTCAGAGCTGCCTGAGCTCATCCAGATGGGAAGCAGAGGGGGAACAGGACCCCACGCTGGTCCCTACAAAGGGGCTCTAATTGTTCGGTTTTCCCCAATTTTCACTCTTTGCAATTAAAGCAAGTGTAGAGAAGAAGGTTCCAGAAATTCAAGTTTCTAAAAACACAGTGTTTCATTCCCAAATGGGATGAAATTCCAGCATTCTATCAATGAGACATTTCTTCTGTGCTCTCTCAAAACGTGCTCTGGAGCATTCCCAGTTCACCACATTCCTGCACACACCACAAGCTTTGCTTCGGGCTGAGAAGCTTTACATAGTTTTGTTCCTGCCACCAGTCATAGGTCAAGACCTCCTGAACTAAAGCAATGTTTTATTTCCAGTTCCTTCAATACCTGAGCCTTCTGAGTTGGTAATGGATGAACCACAACAGAGCCTCATCACTGCTCCACTTGATACCAAAACACCACTCAAACCTCATCACAGTAAAAAAGGCAGAGTTAAAGCTCTGCTTTGTAACTGCTACAGCAGAAAGGGGCTCAAAAGTTCAGGATGCAGAGCTTGTGGAACTGCACACACACACAGACACCAGGCGGCTCCAAGGAGAGGGGAAACAACAAAGCCACGGAAAAAAATCCACCTGAGGGATTTCTTGTTCTTCACTTTGTGTCTAATCACCACCAGAGCACACAAGAGTGTCCTGGGGAGAGCAGTCAAGGCTCCATCCTCTCAGTGAACAGGGCAAATAATCATGAAGGGAAACACAACCTCAGCTCTGCCACACTCCAGAGAGCCAAGGCTGGGCTGGGACACTCCAGCCCTGAGCTGGGATTAACACCTCACACTGGCACTAAGCTGGGCTGGGGGTTTATCTCCTGAGCAGCAAAGCAGCAGCAGAGACAAAGATATTGAAATTCTGAAACAAAAAGGTAAAAATCCCAGATGACCAGAGGTCAGGGCACAGAACAGAGACAGAATAATGTCAGTTCTTTATTCCAAACCAGGTAACTCCTGTAAAACACTGTGTAATTTGAGTGAAGGAATTACTTTAACAGGAAGGGTGAGGTGAAGGTCTTGTGGTTGTCACCACTTATTCCAAAGCCTTTCCCATCTTATCACACCAAATCACTCCTGTAACTGCTTTTTATTGGACACTGCACTGCAAAATCACCACTCATCCCTCAACCTTTCAAACAATTTGATATTCAGGACAAACAGACCTGCTCCTCCTCGATCCTGCGCTGGAGGGTTTCGATGTAGTGCTGCACTGCCATGTAAATAAACCTGTACTGGGCCTCTGTCTGCACCATTCCTGACCTCTGGGATCTCACCATCTGGATGGTCTTTGGAACATCAATATCACAGTCCACACCTGGGGAGAATCATCACAACATTAAACCAGGAAAATAAACACGCCAAGGTTGTAAATCACTGGAATCCTCTGTCAACACTCCTGTGGTTTTATCTGATGTTTCTGTCAAAGTCCCACAGGAAAATAAAAGGGGTGACCCACCTTTTTCTCTGATGATGTCAATGAGAATATCAATCACAATGAACGTCCCTGTTCGTCCGATCCCAGCACTGGAAAAAGAGAAAAAAAGGTTATTTGTTCTGCTCTTTCTGAACAGACCCCAAAACACCAACCCAAGAAAGAATCTCATATTAGGCTTCCAAATTATAGCCAGACTTAAACCACACAGCCAAAAGTGACCAGAGACCTCCTCAGTCTAACATGGAAGAGACAGAATTCATTAGGACTTTTGTACCTCAGCACTTTTAAACATCCCTGAATCAGAAAAAAAACCCACATAAGGTCAGATCTAAGATTTCCTTGCCTTATAAAAAGTCTCTCATTTATAAGCCCAGACTGAGGAGAGCCCTCCCAGATGGGATGGGATACTAGCATTTCCCTGATCCCACATCTGAAATGTGCCAGCCAAGGTTCCACCTTCTCATTCAACACCAGAAATCCTTATTTATACAAACAAGCTCACTCTGAAAGTCAACTGCTTCATGTGACATCCATCCAGAACATGACATTGTGCAAAACAGAAAGCAAAAACACCTGGACAGATGGAATTCCAAGCAGTTCCAAGGGAAAGTTGTCCTTTTTTTAGAGGTTTCAGTTCCCCAGGCCAAAGAGAGGAGCAGCAGGAGAAGCTCAGCCCATCACCTCACCTGCAGTGGACCACGACTGGTCCAGCATCAGGAATGCTCTCCTGCTTGTGGTGCACCTCCTCCAGGAAGTCCAGGACACCGCCAGGATCGCTGGGAACGCCGTGGTCGGGCCAGGTCCTGAAGTGGTACTGCCAGACTGTTCTCTCTGTGTTCCCCTGGGAGGGACAAGGCATGAAAACAAAACCCTTCAGAACAAATCCAGCTAAAGGAGCATTTATGGGGCAAAGCTGAGTCAGATGGGAAGGTGGCACTTCCAAATCCAACCTGCTGCTCAGTATCCACAACTCCTAAAGGAGGGAATAAGCCAGAGCCCTCCTGGCTTGACAAGTCAGTCACTAAATCCTGATTATTTGCTTCTCACATGGTTTGTTCTGCTCCCTGATCCGAATTGTTCCTTAACAACTCTAATTCCACACTAACTGTTTCCTTCCTCACCTTTTTATCCTTCCTTTAAGTGAACTTCCTACACGCTGGACCCACACACAACCTTTTCTTCTGGTGCAACCACCTCCATGAGAGAGAACAAATTCCTGGCTGGATTGAAGTGTGATCAGTTAAAAGCATCGTCCCTCTTTACACATTCCCTCCAAGCTCTGCAGCAGAGCATCTCCTGCCAAAAACTGCTTAGGTAGAAGAATCCTCAATTATCCCAAGGACAAAGAGAAAGATGGATGGAACTAAACGTGGAGCTTCAAAGAAAGACAGGGCTCAATTCATTAATCTTTTGGTGCTTTTATTGATTCCAAAGAAAGGGTCGATTTGTGCCAATTTTTGGGGGGGGATCTGCAACCTAAACTGAAAGGACAGAGTTACTCTCACACTTACCTGCCCAACTTTAGAAAGTTTAAGTTCTCTTAGCGTGTAATCATGTGCTGCGCTCTCCTTAACATTCCGGACACGCATCACCCCGTATTCCTTCAGGGAATATTCATCAGGCCAGTACTTGACACATTTACTCTGCAAGATTTAAAACCAAGAAACAGCACAAAAGGAATAATCAGCCAGAAAAAAAAAAACAAAACGGCTGTTTTGCAAACTGCTTAACATATTTCTGGAGCTTTAATTTCAGAACACACAGAGGACAATTCCTCCCACCAACTGCTGACAAGGTAAAGTGCATTTAAGTGTCTCTTCTCCATAACAACCACTGGATGATTTCAAACAGGTACAGGCAATTTCTCCTCTTATCAGCTTTTGTGATCATATTAGAACCTGCTGTGCCTGGATAATTTCAAAACTCGAAGATTAAAATATTGCATCTCCAGGTTTCAAAACACTGAATTCCCAGCAGAAAGCTGCAGCCTTGCAGGTTATCCTACAACCAAAACCCACCAGGCTTGAAAATAAATACAAGTAAACCATTTTTAGCAGAAATTCAACTTGGATGCTTGCTTTTCCATGCCTGCTTTTCCATGCCTTGGAGCAGGAAGGACTAACACAGGTCTAATTCAATCCCCAGGGAATTGCTCCCTGGGCAGGGCACTGAAGCCTTGTGTGTCTGTGGCTTCTGGAACATAAAGCTTTTGGTGTTCTGCTTCTCCATCCAGATTATCTGTGGCCAGGGATATATTCCATCCACTGAGGGATGGATTCACCTATGGCCACTTGGATTTGGTTCCTGTGACAGGTCAGGAAAGAGCAACTCCAGGGAATGAAGCATGAAATGAGAAATTACAGCAGGTGCAGCTTCCAGGAACGGCAAACACAGCCCAAACACCAAGTCCCACAAAGAAATATTGTCTATTTGCAGCTCCTCCTGCATATTTATGAGAAAACACGGCACAAGGAAGTTTCTTCTGCCAACCCAAGATAGAGGAAGATGGTTGAAAACACAATTTGCAGCCTATTTAGGCAACAAGCTGCTTTTGTGTTATTTTTGCCCTTCTTTCCCTGTCATAAGGGTAGAAACTAAAGAAAAGATGTTGCTCTTGGTGGGTTCCAACATAAATAACTTGCAGTTTCAACACAGAGCTCTGAACACGAGAGCAGTTGGTAGAGCAAGTCTGAACAGTGACATGATGTTAAAATTAGCTTTATTCTGCCAGAGGGGTTGCATTTATTACTGGCTCCATGGATTGGCTCCAAAACCCCACTTTTTTAATTTGTAAGTATTTGCTGTTTCTGCAGAACTCGCTGCAGAGCTGAGATGTCTCTCAGTTCCTCCTTTCCTTGGGCAATGTGCTCCTGAATTTCAGTTCTGGTGCAGAGAGTTCTCCTTCCTGCAGGTCTGAAATCTTGGCCTGAGATAAAAAAGCTTTGCTTTTCTATCAGGACTGTTATTTGCAATTCTTTAAGAAGTGAAATATGCAGCAAAAAACAATAAAGGGTAGAGAAAAAATCATCAATGCAGCACTGATGGAGTGATCAGGCACTGAAGTGTTTTCTCCAGCAAACTTTGGGAAGAATAATGGAGAAACTGCAGAGGAGAAAAGGCCATTCAGAAGGTTATTGAAAAAATAATAAATGACTTGAAGAAAAGAGAGGTGTACTGAAGGTAACTCTTCCAAAACAACCCCATAATTTATTTCTTTTCTTCCCAAACAAAGAACTAAGAGGGATGTCACTGGAAAGGGGGAGCTTCTCCCTCCTTCAGTGCATTCTCAGGAAGGAAACACAAATCCTGTCCCTTTATAAGGGGGATGAATGGGCAGAAGTTTAAAAGGCTAAAAAAAGGATTCACAAGGCAAAGTCTAAACCAAATAAAGGCAGCTTTGACATCTCAACTGGGGGGAGAAGCCAATAAAATCCACTATTTGTCTTCAGTCCATACATACAAAGCTTGTTCTTGTAACGGGTGAGGAACCCCTGCAATTATCACTCACCCCTAGAAAAACTTCTCTGCACTTTTAATTTGGTTTTTTTCCCAAGTGATGCTCCCCTGACAAGGTACCAGCTTTCCATTCAGAACCAAATCAGGAAATAGTGAAAAAGGTAAAAAGCTGGACAATAGTGATGGCAGAAGCATAGAAAATTAAAAAAAAAAAAAAGGAGAGAGAGCAGAAAATGTTTATCAAACAGAAAAAGGATCAGAAGCACCAAATTCCAAAGATAAATCCATACAATACACAGGAAGCTGTGTGTGAGTGCTGCCAGGATATCAGTGTTCAACTATTTCCTATTCTTTCCTGCCACATGTCTTTAGGAGCCAGAAACAAAGTGAAAACCTCAGGTTTGGCAGAGGACAGGGAGCAAGACGAGATCAAAGGTAAAGGGAGGTTCTTGGGATAAACCACTGCAGGAAAGTTTCGGTTTTGAGAGCATCAAACCCTGCCAGAGCAGCTCCCAGGGGGTGGGCAGGAAGCTGTGTCCATGCAGAACAGGGCAGGCAAAGCACCTGACTCAGGAATAAAAGTGCTAAATCCCACCTGGCTGGGGATTCCAACCAGGCATTTCCAGCTGGAATCACCAGCTCAGCACAGAGTAATAAAGTTTTCCAGCCTGGAAAGTTGAGTCAGAAGAGGGAACAGCACTGGAGTAACGTGACCTGAACGAGATGAATGTGGGGCAACAACTCTCACATGATAATGCGGGTTTTAGGTAAGAAACATCATCTCTGTTCATCTTGTAATAAAAAAGCCCCATAATTCTGCTTTTCCAGTGAAGTATATCCAGGCTTGATCAGCTGAAATTAATGGGAAGACCTTTGTTACAGGAAGAGGGAGTTTACCCCTCCAAGAACACAGAATTCCTGCCTGGCTCCATCTCACATTCCAGTGCCTCATTCCCTGAACAAGTTTAAAATACACAGATGCACATTCAGTAGACAAAATTAAATCAGTCAACCCTTAGAAAAGGGAGGCCTGATGGTATGACAGGAGGATATCCTCAATTCCCACAGGCACCAATAGAAAAAGGACACTCAGCACCTTCCAGAGCTCCAATGAATCTGGTGGCACACCAGATTCCAGCTATAAATCAATTTATCCCAGTCACTTTAGTCCTTACTTGCCCTCAAATGCCATGACCTTTCCCAAGGCCAGTTCAAGCCTGATTTTACCTTTCCTCTTTCCACTTCTTTTGTGGTCATAACAATAACTCTGGAATTCTCCTGGAACACCATCCTCCAGAAATCATTCACTGTGTTCTGTAGGCAACCTTGAGTAGCAATGTAGCTTTTTTTTGGCTTTGAGTTGTTGCACTTGGTTTCAAACTCAGGCTAGAGAGAAAAAACAAACAAACAAACAAACAACAGTTCAGCAAGTGGTGACAAGACTCACCTGAATTTAGGTGAATATGATAAAGAGGAGACATGGGATGTGCCATGAAGGCTCCTGGAGGTGGGAATATACTCACCATAATAATATTAGCATTGATATAGTCTGAAACAGGTTCATTGGGATCCCCATCGTGGAGAACAACTCTGGTGTGATCAACTGGAAGAATATATATGGATGTTAAGCACTTGCATCCTACACTTGTGAACACACAGAAGCCTTGAAGTTGTTAAACTTGGTAAATTAGTGATTAGAATATTCCAGACTTCCTCTTTTGCCATTTCTTGCCATAACAAGCTCAACCAAAACAAGGCTCCACATCCCCTGGTAACTCAGGAGCACGTGGACAGTCAAACAAACAGCCTCTGGATTTGCACATTGCAGTTTTGTCCAACAAAATAATCCTCTTAAATTTAAGTATTTCAGCTTGTTGAATAACAGTTTAGGAGATGGGAGGCTTTGAAATGAAAACTGAAGATAAAAGAAAACAAAAATTGGGGATGGAAATACGAGTATCTACAAAGTGCAAGTGTTGGAACACAAACTGGAAATCACACGGGCTCCTTCTGACAACATAAAGGGGGAAATTATCATTAAAGAGAAGCAAAAGCCCAGTGGTGCTTAATTAACCCTGTGTTTGGGAGTTAAGAAAATAAAGCCTAGAAGGGCAGCAGGCTGAGGTGACAAAGACAAATCAATACTTACAGGGTAGGATGTTTTTGTATCTATTTTTGTTCTTGTTCTCCTGGCGCTGCCCTTCCTTACGGCTGTAGAGGAGTTTGCATTCCTGCTGCTGCAGAGTCTGAAGGGAAACAGCACAGAGACCTGGCTCAATAAAAGCAGGATGGACTGTTCACCACCATCCCAGCAATCCCTTCTCCCAGAGAAAAGGGGAATTAGGTAAGTACAAACAGGGTTATCCATAAATCCTTCTAGTCCAGAAACACACCCGAGTGAGGATTTCTCTCGCAGGGAAGGAGCTCGTTTCTCAGTTCCTGGTACACAATTAATGTGACAGGGACAACAGCAATTCCATACTTTTCCAGCCATGCTCCTAAGTGGCATTTCTCCCTATTTCAATGAAGTTTTAATCCCAAAGCAGCACTGGCCTGACTTAAAGGAACATTCAGGCTCTAGAAGCTGCTCCCCCTGATTATTCCCACCCTTAAGACTCTCCCAGGCATTTCTTTTACTTAAAGCTTGGCCATGTCAGGCACATTTGCTCACTCCTGTTTCAGTCCCTGTTATTGTTGCTGCCTCACTTAATGACCTTGGACAATTAGGCTCATCCTAAAGGCAGAGGAATATCAGAGATGCAAAATTTTATGCTTGTAAAGCAAAAGACTGAAAGCACATCTCTCTAAAGCATTTGTTGTGGAATCCAAGCAAAAGCTAAACTTTTCAGCAGGTTAAAAAATTGAAGCAATTAAGTGTGTGGAAACCACAGTTTCAAACCCATCTTCCTTCACAGAGTTAATTATTATTGCTTGGAGCCTCCCTGAGGAGAGATCCATGAGCAGCAGCGACTCCTAACAAGCCCATTAAGGGATGTACACAATGCAGCCATCAATCTGCAACATCCTCCTCGATTCCACTGCAACACCCAAGCACAAAGCTCCCCAAATAACCATTTTTCAGAAGGAAAAACATTACAAGGACTGTCAACATTTCTGTCTGCTGGTTCACGGGACGAGAGGTACATTCTTGCCTGAAGACAAGTAATTTATAACCACCATCTGGGCTGGCAGCTCAAAAACAGCACAGACAGAGATCCATGGGCAACCTGGAGTTTGCTCCCTGCCTCCAGCCACCAAGGTGGACAGCTGGAGCTTCCCTGAGGTGAGTGGAAAAGGATGGCACTAAAACTGCCAGGAGATTGTTTCATTTCCAAAACAACCCAAGGTTTAGTGCTGACCTCACCAACAGCAGTTAGTTAGTTAGAAGGGGAAAGGGGAGAGCAAAGTCTCACAGGTAAAAGCTTTAATTTCTTCCATTTACTTTTCCTGTAAGACTTTTCCTGGCTTTTAAGGACCCACTGATAAATCCATTACAAGACAAAGTTAGTCAACACCGGAGGTCAGGAAAGTCCTAACTGTGAATTAATAGCTCAGTTATATTTAATAGAGCAACAATCCCTTCCTGAACTCATCACACAAGAGAACCCCTCTCATTAATTCAGAGCTCCCAGCACCAACTACAAGGAGAAGACAACTGGGTACATTTTTTCCTTTTTTATGCCCTCTGAATAAGAGCAAGACATGCTTAAGACTTCAGGAAAGCCAACAGACACCCTTTGCTTGGCTAATTTGGAAATGCTGGGCTAAATCCCACAGCAACCACAGGCACAATGTCTGTGCCTGTGTCATGATACAACAGAACACACACTAATTACTTGGCCAAAGCAGGTAATTCCCATATGGAAGTCCACTCAATCTTCCCAACCCTCCAGGCCCCAGGTCCAAGTTCATGTGTTGAATTCTGCAAGGAAAGCAACTCAGAGGTTGAGGCCAATTTACCTCCAGTCAAACTCACAAGCAGTGGATGAGAACTGCTCCCATGGGATCCCCCATCCCACTGTCAGGGGAAAGCAGAGAGAGGCTCAAGGCCCAGCAGTGGCCAGAGCAGGGATTGTGACCATTCTGACCATTCAGCAGCCCTGGCTCAAGGACTGTCCCTCCACACTGGGCACATGGGGAGAGGAGAAAGCCTAATCCTCATTTTATCATTTCCCAGTGCCACAAGTTCACCTTCTGATATTCCACCCACACTCATAGTGAAATGTGTTACCCCTTTGGTAACTCTTCACTTTTCATGGATTTCTTTCTCCCTTCCTGACAATAATCTCAGAGCACACTGGTCAGCACATTCAGTTGATGGATATCTCTGATCCAAAAGGAGTTTCTCCAAACAGCATCACAGACCAAACCAGCCTCTGGCACAGCCCAGCACTTCCCAGTTTCCTGTTGCCATCTGCTGGTGGAATTCCAGACTCCACCGGTGGTTTCCTTATGTGTGTGTGTGTGTGTGTGTGGTATAAACCAGTCCATGATACAGACCCTGGAGTGTTCCAGGACGGGTTGGACAGGGCTTGGAGTAACCAGGGCTAGTGGAAGGTGTCCCTGCCCATGGCAGGGATGAGATGAACTCGTTGGAAGGGACCTTAAAGCTCATCTCATTCCACCCCCTCCCATGGGCAGGGACACCTTCCACTAGCCCAGGTTGCTCCAAGCCCCATCCAACCTGGCCTGTAACACTTCCAGGGATGGGGCAGCCACAGCTTCTCTGGGCAACCTGTGCCAGGGCCTCCCCACCCTCACAGGGAGGAATTTCTTCCCAATATCCCATCTAAACCTACTCTCTTTCAATTTGAAGCCATTCCCCCCCTTCATTTACACTCTTTCCGGGAGGAAATTGGAATTTGGAATTGGAAATTGGAATTTTGGCTGCAGGGCAGAAATCAAACACCAAAACAAACCAAAAATAGATCTCCAGAAGTCCAAGGAATACATTTAATCAATGCTGCTTCCTCTCAGAGCTTTAAGATCCCCAAAAATGACCATCAAAAGGTCAGAACGTCCATCAAAAAGCCACAAGGAAAGGGTGTTTACTGACTGAAAAATCCCATGGGATTTAAAGCCATAGTCCCCAACTTGCCAAAGGAGGAAGGAACCCAATGGATTGTCCTGGTGGGCCAGTGGCACAGGAGGCTCCCTCCTGGTGCAGCTGGGAGGATACCCAGGACGGATTGTGCCAAGTACTGGATGAATAGCACTGGAGAACATCATTAACTCTGAGACTGAGGGAAAAAGGCAAATATTTCCCTCCCCAGGAGTAGAGCTGGTAAAATTTAAACACATGGAGATGGGAGCTAGACCAAGGATCTGAAGTGATGGAAGTAGCATTGAAGAACATCATTAACACTCAAACTCAGGGAAAAAGGCAAATATTTCTCTCCCCAGGAGTGGAGCTGGTAGAATTTAAACACATGGAGATGGGAGAAGAACAGGGATGTGAGGTGGCAGAGGGGGAGAGGGAAGCTTGTTACTGCCAGGAAGGCAGTAACAAACCTAAAAAACCCTAAAAAATCTTATCTTTTAGTAGTGTGGATTTAATCCCATAACCCTTGGAATGCACTGAAGTACCTCAAACTCCTCCCAGAAGCCCTGCTTGACTTTGTCCGTGGTCTCGGCCAGTTTGCTGAGCTCCCGCACGCGGCTCTCGATCTCGGCGGCGTTAATTCGGGTCGTGTTCAGGGGCTGAGAGACACAGACAGCAGAGGCTGAACAAACAACTACTGTGAAAAGACAACTAAAACACAGTCCTCTAAGCTAAGGATGTTTTATCCAGGAATTCCTGGATCCAAGCACCTCTTTGACTTCAAAACTTCGGAGTTCCCGCAACGAGGGGCAGCGAGGAAGGGACAGTGAGCAAGGGCTTTTAGAATCATAGTTTTTATTTAATACATTAAGTCCCTCATTTCTGGACTCTCCCTGCAATCCCTGTGGACCACAATGACACTGGGAAGTTCTGACACATCAGAGACAAGTTTATCCCTTTACAGGCATAAAGGAAATTGCTTCCCATTTAAATGACTTTATTTCATGAAGTTTAGTTCTGCATTTTTGCAACAGGAAAGAAAAGGTCTTGCATATGGACCTTGCATATGGAAAACCTGCACTTTCACAATATATTCTGAGGGTAGCAGAGCTCTGGGGTGTCTTCTCCGTTCACTCACCTGTTTGAGCTGCAACACTGTGCCCAAAGTCTCCACCATGGGGTTCTTCTTGTAATGTTCCACCAGGTCTGTCAGAGAGTCAAACTTCTCCCCTCCACCAACATCATATTTCAGCTCCTTCAAAGACAGATGCTCATCAAAACAAATGCACTTCCCACAGTGACACCTGCACTGACAGCACCTTTGGGCTGTGCATCACAGCAGAAATTATCTCTCAACCAGATGGAGAAGACTCATAAAATCCTTCTAAGGGATGGCAGAACCTCAATAACAGAAACACACACACACTATGGAGGGCATGAACCTTTTGGTCATCTCACTGAAAATCAGTTTATCTGGGGTTCAGTCAGCTCAAGATACTGGAGCTACAGGATGAGAATCCAGGAATTAGGAATCTGAATTGATTTCCAAAGCTAAATGTGCCCTGAAAGGCTGGTACTGCCTCGCACCTGCCTATTTTAAGGAAGCAATGCCAAGTTATTTTCCTCAATGTCATAAATGCTACTACTAGTCAACTGCAAATCAAAGAGGGTTTCTTAAAAAAAATAAAAATATTCTGGTAGTTTTTACATGGTCCTTGTAGGCCATTTCTGCCTCCAAACTACTTCAGTTATTGCAGTTTAGTTGTTTTAATACAATTAAGTTGTTGCACTGCCTTCTGGCATAACAGAAGTAAAAGAAAATGACATAAAACAACCCCTGATGGAATTTTGGTGCTGTCACATGAGTTCATTGGATCAAACACCTGATCTGTGTCACCCCCAGGGAAAGAGGGATGGATCCAGCAATCCGTGGGGAGGTGGAAGGTGAACCTCCTGTTCAAATCCCACAGCCCATGGAATTCTCTGCTAAAAGGAGCCCGTGGTTTCCATACCTGGCAGTGGATCATGACATGTGTCACCTTGGATTTGCCATCATTGCTCTCTCCTTTATCATCTCCTGTCCTCACAGAGAGGACAAAGTCCCCAGGGTGGCTCTGGCTCTCCCGCACAAGGAAACTTCCATGTTTTCCTTTCTCTGTTAAGAGCTTTTCAGCTTCTCTTCCAGAGAGATGTCCATGAAACCACCTTTAAATAAACATACAGAGAGAGACCCCGCTTATCATTCCAGCCATGGCTGAATCCACTTGTTCCAATTATTAATTATAAATAAAATCCTTGTGTTCACTGAACATTGTCCAGCTCCACAGGAAGCCTCAGTTTATAAAAATAATATATAAAATCAGCCTTGGAAGTACATGCACACACAGGAGTGAAGACAGAAACACTTCAAAGCACTTCCACAGGTGCTGACATTTGAATTTCACACACTTTGATTTGGATCCTTCACAACAGTCCCAATGGATTCCCTGGTGTCCAACAAACACCAGCTCACATTGCAACCTCCTCCTCAGCCAAGGTGTTCATTCTGCTTTTATTTCCTTCATGAAACCACACTTTCCTGATAAACCTGTGGGAACTTCACATCTTTGAGACCTTACCCTTCCATCCCATTAGGAAGTGGACAGGATAATCTCAGCAATCTCATTTCTTGAGGAAATAAAGCCAAAAAACCAGCAATCCTCCCCACCACTGTTAAATACAAGACACTCTGAGTAGTGAGAGAACTTGTGTGGATATTTTCCCTTGTTCCTTCACTTCCAGGGATAAACAGATACCTGCTGGCCACAGAGGTTTATTTCTGACACCTCCATAATTCCTCAGGTTTAACATCTCAGATTCTCCTTATTAACCACGTTCCTCAAACCGGGATTGGAGGAATTTGAGGATTGGTATGTCATTCACATTCTCACACTGCTAGAGTTATATAGTTATAACTAGAACTATAACGTTATGTCCAGAAATTGACCTGGGAATTCCTTGCAGCTTCAGAAGAACTTCTACAATAAAACATTCTCCTAGTTAAAATAAAGGGAATTATTCCCTCCTTTTAGGTCTTGTATCACACAAGGAAGAATGTTGAAGTAAACAGGTTCTGAGGCTTAAATTGCTTCACCTTTAGCCATGTTTATTAACCTACTTTGCAAGGAATCTCCCAGAAATTACTCCAAGACAGGGGCCACCCTCTCCTCAAATGAAGACTGGCTGCAGTGTTAGGAGGGACACAGGGCATTTATTAAGAAGCAGGTGGGCCCTGAGGTTCCACCACCACTTCTCTGACCTTTCTGATGTAGGATCAGCACAATTCAGTGGATATTTCAACTCTATGACATCTCCATTCTTCTCCTTGAGCTGCCCATGGTGTTCCATGTAGTACTGGACCAGCTCAGCCAGCGTGGCAAACTTCTCTCCCCCGTACAGGTCATAGTAGTCCCCTGTGTTCTGGATCTTGATGTGGGTCACGGCTCCAGTTCGTCTGGTATTGGAAACACAGGGGAAAAAAAACCCCCACAAATCAGCTGATGGCAAATCAATCCCTTTTATATTTAGTGTTCTGCTGCCTGAGCTGGAGAAATCCATACTCACATTTGCAGCACTTTGTAACTGAATATTGCAGAGGAGCAGAGTTAGTGCCCCTCTGAAGTCGCTTCAGACACATTGCAGTGGCTTGTCGGTCCAGCAGCCAGGAAAAATAGGAAAAAATATCATACTGAAGGGATCCTTGAAGCCAGTGCAAGCTCTGCGGCCTCACAATCTCCATTAGGAACCCCTCAGAGCCCCAAAATTGCTCATACAAGCACAAGGGTGGAGGGCTCAGAATTCAGCATTCAAAGAGACCCATCAGAGCTGGTTTGCTCCTTTCCCAGAACTTCCCAGCAGCTCCTGAGGTCCCTCCTCAGTAAACAGTTTTGCTCCCACAGTCTCCAATATTAAGGAAGAACAGCTCCCTGCAGGATTCCCCTCCTATGCCTCAAGGCCTGTTATCTCAGAAGCATCCAAGCACCAGAATTCTTATCACCAATCCCACTTTTCCCTTTTCCTTTATCTACTTCCTCTTGCTGTCCTTTCCCCATCCCCACTACTGGACACACATGGGACAACTGGCACAAAAGGCCTATTTTGGAAGCTGAAAAAGCATCACAGTTGCCCTCAAAAACTTGCTGACTTTTCCTGTACGAGGAGAGGCTGCAGAGCATTTCCTGCATGTGCTTGATCCCTAATTCCCATCATCTCTGCTGCTTCCAGATGGTTATCAAACAGATTTTTAAAGGGCTAAAAGTAATGCTGTCATCAACCTACTTCTGCTTCCCCTGAACCTTTTTGTCCCTCTAAAATCAGAATTCACTCCCCTCCAATCTATAGTTTCCCCAAGTTGGGTAAAATTTGAGAACATTGGCAGGGAAAATGGGAGGAAAATAAGAGGGAAAAGTCAGCATTAAAAAGTGATTTGCACGTTATTTCACCTCTTACAAGTAGTTCATCCACAACTTTTTCCCTGCAGAACAGCACTAAATGAAGACCTTTATCAGTCTGGGGAGAAGGAGTGAAAATATTTCAGCTCACCTGACAGAGAGGGTAAAGTCTCCTGGGTTACTTTTGCTGGGCCGGGCCAGGAAGCTGCCATCCACCCCTCTTGTTAACAGCAGGTTTTCTGCCTCCACCCCAGTAATATTTGGATGAAACCATCTAAAAGAGATTAAAAATAAAGAATCTTAAGAAATAAACAGAAGATCTTCTGGTTTTCAGAGTTAACTTCCACAGGATTAAACAGAGCGATCCAACGGCTTCAAAACGAGGAAGGGATGAATTTTGGTGCTAAATTAATAAAAATCTCCATTCATTATTTGTTTCATATTGCATTGCAATTTTATGTATTGGCAAGAGAAGCTCTGAAAGGGAAAGAACTCCATTCACACATACTGGGTTAAAATGGTATCAAAGACACACAACATAAACACAGACCAGAAGTCCTATTTCCTTACTCCAGGAAGACATGACACACAAAGAAACTCAGAGACAAACAGGAAAAATACCTAAAAATAAAACAAAACATCCCCTGTGCCACTTGACAACATTTTAAAGGTTAAAAATGCAACAAAACCTCATGTTTTAGGGCACAGGCTGAGAAGGGTCAGGAAGCAACTCCACTTGAGAACAACCTACTCCTCTTCCACCTTCGCCAAAGAATGCGGTGCTGGGGTCGGATAAATCCCACTTAAATACAACCCCAGAGGAATCTCAGATTGATCTTCACCACCCACAAAGGGCCCTGAATGACTAACACAGAGCCAAGGCTGGATCTGGGCTGTGGCCAAGAGGATCCATGTCCCACCTCTGGCATTAACTTCGGACAGACTCATCCGGAGCCGTTCCATAACACACCTGCCTTTGCTCTTAGCCGGAATTCCCAAGTTTTATTACACTCCTGGAGCACTAAACAACATCCCTGTGCTCTGGATGAAAGGCTTTGTCACAATTGTACTTGGCAATTACGAGACCACCTTTAATTTTCAGAATTAAATCAGAAAAATCCTCATCCCTTTTCCTTTATCTCCTTCTACTGAGCGGGAAGAACTGAGGTTGCTGCTCTTGGTACAGAAAGTTTTGGCTTCTCCAAAGTAACCCAGAAGACTCCATAACCAGTCTCTTTACAGATATAGGAGTGTTATAGCTACAAAAACTTCCATAGCATTCCTGAGCCTTCCTGATCCAGTCAGCATTTCATGCTAAATTGCTAAATCAGCAAAATACGAGAGTGCAAATCTAAATTTAGGACTATTAATTCAATTGCTTCAGCAATTCCTTCTCTACTGAAAAGTTGACAATATTCCCACCAAGGCTTCATCCAGCCTGTTCTCTTCAGAAATGGATTCTCATGGAAACATTCTGAAGAGTTTTACAGATCCTAGAATATTATTAATTAATTAATTATATTTATTAAGTAAATGATTATTCTTGTTCACCTTGCTTTTTTTGCCTAGTTAATAATATTCTGCTTACACCGAGAAAATCTAGTGAAAACTCCCTATTTTGCACTGAAAAACAACAGAAAAATCAAAACTATGCAGCATGGGACAGGAGAAAATATTAAAATACTTCCAAGTTATCACAGCAGGTGGGGATGAATTAATTAATAATGCTACATTTACGTAATGACTATTCAAAGGTCAAGAAAAGGTCTGGTTTGATGCAGTGTCGAAAACCAAACCACACAAGCATCAGTACCTGGGGTGAAATGAACATTAAATAATATATTTCAGCATGACAGGTAATAGCTGATGATATATTTATGATATATTTACAACACTTCCGTTCCCAAAATTTTACTTTCATTAGGAGAAAACAAAACAAAAAAAAATCTGCACAAAGAAAGTGCAGCAACATTTTGAACAGTTCACAATCTTTCTAAATATGCACAGGATTCAAGAGAAACCTTTGCAAGTTTTTGAGTTCATATAAAAAAAATATATAAACATACAAAGGAGGAATTATTGGAATTAGTTTTCCAGGTTTATTATATGGTGACATTCCATAAACTTTAATTAATAGAGTATCTTCTATATCTTATAAATTCTAATGCACCTGGAAGTAAGTGTACATGAGCTGTTAAAAAGATGTGAAAAAAACAGAAAAATAATACTTTAATGCATGGAGGGGACTACAAATAACTTGCTATTTAACAAGTATTTAAAGGAGAGGTTAAAAAGATGATACACTGTGTAAAACCCCAAATCTCACCCCCAAACACAAAGCAATTCCTACTGAAGATGCCAAAGCCAAGTAGCAAAGCCAAGCTCCACCTGGGAGGGTGATAGGTTTTATTGCACTTTATATAACTTTGGTTCTGATGGCAACTTGTCCTCCTGCTCCCTCATCTCTGTATTTTTGGCTTTGAGTAGGAAGGTGCATTTGTCAGGCACCCCAAATAGAAAAATGGGGGTGTCAGTGATCCCTGCTCGGCGGTTCCGGCCCCGGGACCAGGATCTGCATTTGAAGTGCTGCCACCACATGTGTCCTTTGAACCTTGGGCTGCATCCCTTCCAAAAAAAAAAAAACTGGAGGAGAGAGCACACACCCCCCAGTAACACAACCCCCAGCCAGGACCTTCTCCTGCACTTCCTTTTATAGGGATGGAATGTATTTTGGGCTTTTTATCCTGCTTTCCCTCTCCAGTCTCTCCCAGCAGCAGGTGCAGAGCTCTCCCAGCCAAGGGCAGTAAATACAATCACAGGAGTAACACAACACACACAAACCCACACTCTGATTAAACTGGCTCCTCACCATCATTCCCAGTAGCAATTCCAAGTCAGGGGTCAGAACACACCATTCCCAGTCCCTTATTAATTTACAAAGTTGGTAAAAGAGCGGGGTCTCGTTTACAAAACTCAGGGGCATCAGCTAAGCAAGGAACCTTTTGATGAAAAATAATTCACGGCAGGAAATCCAGCCTTCCCACAATTATCCCTTTTTTTGTAACCGTGGTCCAGAGAAGACCAGCAGGATCTGTGCTCCCCAAGTCCCACACTGCCAGCACATTCCCTCTTACCAAATGAAGAGAGAAAAAGAGAGAAATCAATACAATTTTCCATGCTGGCACTGGGTTTTTCTAATCACCTTTCCAAGAGCAGGAGAGATGAAATCAGTTCTGTCTCAGCTGTCACAGCCCCAGCACTCGGGAGGCACTGATGGGTGGGTTAATTACTCCTATTTTTAGGCTCATCAGTTGATATTTCTCAGCTTTTTTTTCAGTCTCCCTCACAAGTTACAATTTCAAGCTCTGAGCAGAAGCAGTGTTTCCCAAAGTGTTTCCAAAAGGTAACTTGTATCCTTGTTCTGCCAGGAAGGATACAAGTTGTCAGCAGGGCCATCCAGAACACCCAACATGCACTGGAGATCCTACACACGCCCAAAAAAACCCCAAATCCAACTATAAAAGGCCATGCATTGAACCCAACCTATACAGATCCACCTTCTTAAGCAGAACAAGAAAGAGGACAAGTCACCATGAAGAAATTAGAGTTTAATAGGTATTACTTATTAAAAGAGGTGAATTCAAGAGGTGAATCAATCGAAGCTGTGGCTGCCCCATCCCTGGAAGTGTTCAAGGGGGTTTGGAACAACCTGGTGTAGTGGAAACCCTCATGGCAAAGGGTGGAATGGGATGAGCTTTAAGGTCCCTTCCAACCCAAACCATTCAGTGGTTCTGTGAATCTCAGAATGGGTATTAAAAAGGACAAAGATGTTTATATTCTTTACCATGACAGTAATTCCTCTCAAGTCTAACGTTCACCTAAACCTCTCAGCCCCAAAGGACACTTACTGCCAGACAAACACCAAATTACCTTATGGACACTGAGAAACTACAACAAAAAAAAAGCTGTTTATCATCGTGGTTTTCAACTCCACAGGGTTTTGAAATTAACGTGAGTGCTGATGATAAACGAGGAGCCCAGGGAGGGGGCTCAGGAACACTCATTGTACAGCCGGGTCACCTCTGAGGGTCTGGAAGTCCCCAGTGCCTGTCCCGTGTTGGCAACACGAGTCCCCCCGGCCCCGGCACTGGGTGGGTGCCACACACAATGAATTTATCTCTCAACTCACGGGAACGTGGGGAGACCCCTCTGAACCCCCGAAATCGGTGGGACCGGGCCAGCTCCGGCTACCGAAGCCACATGGACGCCTCGCCTTCCCCCGGACATCCCCCCGTCAACGGGCGGGGGTGAGGGTGCAGGAGCGGGGGAAGCCCCTGGGAATGGGAGAGGTGGGAGGTGCAGGAGAAGGGGGATCTCCCCATGAACGGGCCGGGAGCGCGGACATTCCCACGGGAAAGGGAGGGGTGGGAGGTGCAGGAGCGGGGGAAGCCCCTGGGAATGGGAGAGGTGGGAGGTGCAGGAGAAGGGGGATCTCCCCGCGAACGGGCCGGGAGCGCGGACATTC